TGCGATTTAAGGGGGAACAAATCTAGAAAGTTCTGATTTGAATGAAAATTCTATGAAATTTCACATTTTTTAAAACCATTGAAATGAGAATTCTTTAACGTTTTTTAATTTTTCACTGAAATCCCCAGAAAGTTTTATCTTCACTGAATTTGAATTTTTCTAAATGATTTCTCTCCGTGTATATTTAACGGAATTTTCCTGATTTCTACTAATTTTCAAGGAATAATTAAACTAAAATTCACAGTTCTCAATAATTTTTCCATGAAATTCTGAGGTTTTAAAAAATATTTAAAAATTATGACGAGTATAAAATTTTTAACAGTGTACCTAAACAGACACAATACATGGCTCTCCGTTCGTCGATGCTATATAAATCGGTATGCACACTGAAAAAGTACTAAATCGATTATTATTCAGAATTAATGATCATAATCCACGTGTACTAAAAACAGAATAGAGAATGATCGATAAATTTGAAAACATTCACACTGTCGTTATCACACACCGTCTATAGGTAAATAATAAGAAGCGTGGAACACGCCGAAACAGACATCGTACCTGATTATGAATATCGAAGACAGAAATCGTAATAAACTAACTATTATTTGGAACTGATTCAATTAAAATTCGTTTAATCCGATGAAACAGAACAGAGAAGAATGGATGCATTTATCATTTATGGTCTATATTTCAACAAAGAACACACTCAGAAAAATAGTTTATTTGAATTAAATAACTTTTATTTGAATAAAATATGTCCCCTATTAGAATGAAATGAACGATTTATTTCATTAAAATAAGTCATTTTTCTACTTGCAGTAAACTAGAAACGATAACAATTTGTCATCAATGTTAGGAACAAACAATATATATTTGTTTTATTACTGGAATTGTCAAATATAGTGTGCATGAATTATATCAATACAAAAATCGTTTGCGAGATGAGAATCACGTTTACATACATATCGCAGGCATTTACCTCTACATTTCAAGAAAAACTGAGAGAAAAAATTAGCTCTGCCGAAAAACTACATGTTCCATGTGAGAATATTTGATGGAGTGGAACAGATTTGTAAATTTAAGATCTTTCACAAAAATTACACTTTCGTCATGATCATCATAAATATCCCTAGAAGAATTCGAACTGTTGGCAGGAAAAAATATAATCTATTGTACGACAATCATTTGATATGACAGAACTCCATAGGTTTATACCATAGAAAGAATACATTGACGAGGAGAGAATATTTTTTTCCCAAAAAAAATGTCCCCTCGAAAATGTGTAGTTTTGCCAATAACAAAATTTTCGGCAAGAAAATTACAGTTTCCTCTTGAAATTATCATTTGTTCCATGGAAATTATAAGTGTTTATAGGACAAAGATATACACTACTCAATAATATTCACTTGATAAAACCGGAGCCTCATATAATTCTCTGTAGTACGAGTGTATTGGGTTACGGAGATAGAAATAAACTAACATTTTATATACTTTTAACACTTTAAGAATTATTATTATTAAAAATCTCGGTTAGACTCTACACAGTCAAGAGGAGCTTAACTTGAAGGAGCTCAGGAAAATCTGCCTTTCCAGCATTGTAATCGTGCTCTTTTCACATTCTCTAATTTCGATTGGAAATGATGTAGAATGGTCTGAAACGTAAAAATACGAAGTTTGGCGACCATGTCTGTCGGTGTCAATGTCCTTCGCCACGAAAGAGTCTCATGTCAAATTTACGACTTGTATGTATTTCTAAATTTTGGGAAGCATTACTATGCTATGGTAATGATTCTTATGGGGTATGGTATTATATACTATGGGCCATGGTAAGTCTCTCGATGGGAATGAAGCCTATGAACATAGGAGAAATTACTATATTGAATAGTACCCTCTACCATGTTACAGGGTAGAGTGTACTATTAATTATGGTGAAGAGACCCATAGCCGTTTGGTAAAGTTTACCATAGTTTATAGGAGAGATTACCATGCACTATGGTCACATGAACTATATTATATGGTAAAACGTGAAAAAGTCATAAAATATCACGAATATAAAAGATAATGATCACTAAACTATATCATCATAATGATGAGTATAATGAGATAGAAATTTCAAGTGGGATATATATTTATATTTAACGTATTTGGTTTCGACGCTGTTTCAATAATTACAGAGTATTTTCTTATAATGTTGGATTCTTTCTTATTAATAATCATCAATATACCTAGATTAATCATATCGAATATCGTAAGGCTCATATTTAACAATAACATATTTACATCAGTATTTTAATATCAGAATATACATATCTACAGAATAGTGGGATTTTTTACCCCAAATTTTACCTAATCATTGGAAGAATTTTTGGCATTACGGTGCTCTAAGAATTATTAAAAAAATCAAATGTGAGTAATTAAACTCAACAACTGTGCGTGAGAATTTAGACCCATCGTTTCGGAACGTATTGCTGTCCATTGTCGGAGGTAGCTATATACGATAGGATACAAAATTTCATTTGTCGAAATGTCAATGTCGACCACCTCTTATCATTTATATCAATTTCATAGGATTGGAGGTGTCTTTCAAAGAAGTATTCTTGTAATTGTTGAGTAACAAGAATAACTTGATTATTTGGCTCTAGGATTACGATATTGATCAAATGTAATTGAGGACCAGCCTCGGTCGGCATCATCAATATTACGTTTTCCCTGATATGTCCCAAATAATTGAGAGAGCTTACTATTGTAATACCTCCAGATCGATTGGACGGGAGAACTGGCAGAAAATGACGATAATTTAGATCTAATTCTAATCTCTTGTTAAGAGCTAGACCAGGGAGAAAAGGTGGTGGTAAAGACTTGTTGATGAGTAACCGATAATTCAATTTTAATTGTGCCTTGATGGCTATTTTTAGTATTTTCTACGATATCGAGAAAAGGAGAGATTACCATGTATAAATAGCACTGATTACCATCCACATGGTGACCATGAAAAAATCATAAAATGGTGTTTAAAGGTGCTGGTAAAGACTTGTTGATGAGTGACCGATAATTCAATTTTAATTGTGCCTTGATAGATATTTTTAGTATTTTCTACGATCTCGAGAAAAGGAGAGATCACCATGTATAAATAGCACTGACTACCATCCACATGGTCATCTCTCCTATAATAATGGTTGTCGTTGCTATATTGTATAGTAATGCCTACCATGTTCGAATGGTATTGATTACTAAACCAGTTTCAAGGTTTCTGATAAAAAAGTTCAATGTGACAATTGTTCAATGTCAATATTCGTTATTGGTGTGTTGGCACTCCCAGAAGCGTGTTTACGGTAGTACGCTATGTACGCTGCACGCCGTTTGTGCCGTATGCGAGAAAAGAGGGGATGATAATTTGTGTATAAAAATGCCGAAAAATCATTGAAAATATTACTATCAACCCAGAAATGAGATTCTACGCACTTCTTGCTGCCTTGGCAGTTGTCTGCATGAGCCGTGTAAGTGTATTTTTCATTTAGTATGATCACAAATTTTCATTGTCACGTGCTTTTTCATTGTCGTTGTTTCAATAATCAATCTAAATTGAAGGCTGATGCAGATTGGATAGACAGCCTCATCACCGCAACCCGAAATGCTATCTCAAGCTACCAAAGCAGTATTGCAGATATCAACCGTACTTTCATAATAGCTCACGAAGACAGAATTAAAAGAATAGGCGACTTGGTTGACGCTAGTCATCAACGACTTGGAGTAAGTTTCGCCACGTAAATTATATTGATCAATCGAACAATAAAGGAAACCGAGGAAAGCGGGGTGGCCGGGGCATACTAGGGTACATTAAAAAAATGCAAAAATTGAGAAATTCAAGGGTTTGACAAAGGGTCGATCAGGGATCTGGAAAAAGTAAAAAAAAGCGCAAAAAATTCGAATAATATAAAGGAAAAATTTAAAAAAATGGAAGATTTCTGAAAATTCTTTCAATTCTTGCACAGACCGGAATGAGCTGCCATATTGGATATTTTGATTAAAACTGGGGCCTGATAATGATCCAGACTTAGTTAAATGAATTTGCTAAACCCATCACCTTACGGTCGATAACGACGGAAAAAATAAAAAATGAAAAGGATGGAATTCCACTTGCTGTGCATACTCTCTGTTTACTGATATAAACGTCACTTTGCTACTGTAGCAAGCGAATAAAAACAATCAATTAGAAGTATTAAGATTTCACTTCGTAAATTTGAGATAAACATGACAAATCAAATGGAAAAATTCGGAAATTTCAATTTGCCCAGAAAAATGAACTAAAATTAAGCAAAAAAAAATTATTTAGGAAAAAACTGAATAATATCATCGGTTCCGCCAATTTTTTTGGTGACAAGTGGAGCTGCTCGTTATCGACATAGTTGAAAAACAAAATTAGTTTGACGAATAACGAAAACTGTGAAAAAAGTATAGAAAATCGTTATAATGTACTCTTCTGTTGATGAACATGAAATTGAAGAAAAAGAATTCTTTTATGCGTACCCTATCGCGCTCCAAATTATAAAATCGATTAGTCGGGACCTTCTGTACCGATTTCAGAGTTTTTCTATCTTTTTCTGGAGATTCGAAGGTGAAAAACAAAGAAACAATATTTATAACTATTTTAAAGTTCTTGGATACTACTCCATTGTGCACCCAACTGTAATACGTTGGAGACGCGAGTTGATAATTTTAGAATGTGAATATTATTTGCTAAAAAACAATATAATTATGATAGAAGCTCTGACGCCCGCCTCTTTGTCTTAGCTACCCCGCTTTGGGGCGGTTTCCCCTTTATAATAATTCTTTCATTCTTCCCCTGACATCTTAAGCCTATTATTGCGTCTGGTGAAAGAAAGGGGAAAGATGTAGACAGCTGCGTGAATCCATTGAACGAAACAAACAAGCAGGATCGAATAAAATGCATTAATGCAATAAAGTTGTGCTTCAATCAAAATATGCCCAATTATGCAAACATGAGCGCTGAACTGGACGATCTTGCAAAGGTGAGTAAATTATTTGATTGGGAAAAATTTCATGAATGCACAAAAATGATATTACAATTGTATCTGCAGGGAGGAGAGGAATTTCAAGCAGATCTGGTAGCTATTCGAAAAGAATGTGGGAACAATAGATGGCGATGGTTGTGTTGTAAAACGCGCGTAGACTTACTTAAACGAAACATTAAATGGTGGAGAAGCTACATAAGAAGACTAAGGAAAACTGAACACCGGGAAACTTCTGTGGCCAAGAAGAAAATTGAGGGCTGCAGCAGTGCATCGTTGAATGTGTTCACGAAGGCAGTGAATTCGTATCATCTCATCGCTCGACGATGCATTGCTAATCTACCTGTAGGATCTTCGACCACTGCCCAACCGACTCTTGCCGAACCTACGAACACTGTTGCTGATGGACATACTGCGGCACCTGCCACCATCGCAGCTCCGGAACCTACTGGTGCCGCTACCGTCACCACAGCTCCGGAAGCTACTGCTGCAACTGCAATTACCGTAGCACCTGAACATATTGCAGCATCTACCATCACTGCAGCTGCGGAAGCTACTGCTCTAACTGCAATTGCCATAGCACCAGAACCTACTGCAGTACCTACCACTCCCGCAGCTCCAGAAGTTACTGCAGCAACTGAAATTTCCGCAGCACTTTGGATAGACAGCCTCATCACCGGAACTCGAAAATCTATCTCAAGCTACCAAAGCAGTCTTGCAGATATCACCCGTTCTTTCATAAAAGCTCACGAAGACAGAATTGAAAGAATAAGCGACTTGGCTGACGCTAGTCGTCAAATACTTGCAGTAAGTTTTGCCACGTAAATTATATTGATCAATTGAACAATAAGGGAGACCGAGGAAAGCGGGGTGGCCGGGGCCTAGTAAGGTGCATTAAAAAAAATGCCAAAATTGCGAAATTCAAGGGGTTGACAAAGGGTGGATCAGGGACCAATAAAACGTAAAAAAAGTTCAAAAAATTCGAATAATACTAAGAAAAAAATTTAAAAAAGTGAATAAATCTGAAAATACTTGCAATATTTTCATACACTGGGATGAGAAGCCATAATGGAAATTTTGATTAAAACTGGGGCCTGACAATGATCTAGACTTAGATAATCGAATAAATTTGCTAAACCCTTCCTCCGAAGGTCGATAACTACGGAAAAAAGGAAAAATGAGAAGAATGGAATTCCACTTGCTGTGCATCCTCTCTGTTTACTGATATAAACATCACTTTGCTACTGAAGCAAGAGAATAAAAACAATCAATTTGAAATATTAAGATTTCACTTCGTAAATTTGAGATAATCAAGACAAATCTAATGGAAAAATTCGGAAATTTCAATTTGCCCAGAAAAATAAAACAAAATTAAGGAAAAAAAAGATTTTTTAGGAAAAAAGGAATAATATCATGGGTTCCGCCAATTTTTTTGGTGACAAGTGGGGCTGCTCGTTATCGACATAGTTGAAAAACAAAATTAGTTTGATGAATAACGAAAACTGTAAAAAAAACTATAGAAAATCGTTACAACGTACTCTTCTGTTGATGAACATGAAATTGAAGAAAAAGAATTCTTTTATGCGTACCCAAATCATAAAATCGTATCGCGCTCCAAATTATAAAATCTATTAGTCGGGGCCTTCCCTACCGATTTCAGAGTTTTTCTATCTTTTTCTGGAGATGTGAAGGTGAAAAACGATGAAAAAATATTTATAATTATTTTAAAGTTCTTGGATACTACCCCATTGTGCCCCCAACTGTAATACGTTGGAGACGCAAGTTAACAATTTTAGAGTGTGGATAGTGATTCCTAAAAAGCAATATTATTATGATAGAAGCTCTGACACACGCCTCTTTATCTTAGCTACCCCGCTTTGCCACGGTTTCCCCTTTATAATAATTTTTCATTCTTTCCCTGAAATCTCAAGCCTATTATTGCGACTGCTGAAAGAAAGGGGAAAGATGTAGATAGCTGCGTGAAACCATTGAACGAAAAAAACAAGCAGGAGCGAATAAAATGCATAAATGCAATAGAGTTGTGCTTCAATCAAAATATGCCCAATTATGCAAACATTATCGCTAAACTTGACGATCTTGCAAAGGTGAGTAAATTATTTGATTGGGAAAAATTTCATGAATGCAAAAAATGATGATATTATAATTGTATCTGCAGGAAGGAGAAAAATATCAAGCAGAACTGGTAGCTATTCGAAAAGAATGTGAGAACAACAGAAGGCCACGGTTGTGTCTTAATAGGCGCGTAGACCCACTTAAACTAAACGTTAAATGGTGGAGAAGCCATGTAGGAAGAATAAGGAGAACTGAACACCGGGAAAGTTTGATGACCAAGGAGAAAATTGACCGCTGCAGTAGTCCATCGTTGAATGTGTTCCAGAAAGCACTGAATACTCACAAACTCATCGCTCGACGATGCATTGCTAAACTGCCTATAGGATATTCGACCACTGCCCAACCGACTCTTGCCGAAACTACAACCACTGTTGCTGACGAACCTACTGCTGCACCTGCCACCATCGCAGGTCCGGAACCTACTGCTGCCGCAACCACCACCACAGCTCCGGAAGCTACTGCTGTAACTGCAATTGCCATAGTACCAGAACCAACTTCAATACCTACCACCATCACAGCTCCAGAACCTACTGCTGTAGCTACCACCACTGCCGCTCCGGAACCTACTGCTGCAGATACCACCACCTCAGTTCTGGATCCTACTGTTGTACCTGCCACCACGGCAACTGCGGAAGCTACTGCTGCAACTGGAATTGCCGTAGCACTGGAACCTACTGCAGCAACTAACACCACCGCAGCCCCGGCAGCTACCGCTGTACCTGCAATTAACGCAGCACCGGAACCTACTGCTCCATCTACCACCACGGTAGCTCCGGAAGCTACTGCTGCACCTGAAATTACCGGAGCACCTGAACCTACTGCAGCACCTACCATCACGGCAGCTGCAGATGCTACTGCTGCACCTGCAATTACCGCAGCACCTGAACCTACTGCAGCACCTACCACCGCTGTAGCTCCGGAAGATACTGTTGCACCTGCAATTACCGGAACTACGGAAGCTATTGTTGCATCTACCATCATGGCAGCTGAGGAAGCTACTGTTGCACCTGCAATTACCGCAGCTCCGGAAGATATTGTTGCATCTACCACCGTGGCAGCTGCGCGAGCTACTGCTGCACCTGAAATTAGCGCAGCACCGGAACCTACTGCAGCACCTACCACCAGCGCAGCTCCGGATGCTACTGCTCCACCTGCAATTACCGCAGCACCTGAACCTATTGCAGCACCTACCACCACTGTACCTCCGGAAGATACTGTTGCACCTACAATTACCGCAACTATGGAAGCTATTGTTGCATCTACCACCATGGCAGCTCCGGAAGCTACTGCTGCACCTGCAATTACCGCGGCACCTGAACCTACGGCAGCACCTACCACCACTGCAGCTGCAGATGCTACTGCTGCACCTGCAATTACCCAAGCACCTGAATCTACTGCAGCACCTACTACCACTGCAGCTCCGGAAGGTACTGCTGCACCTGCAGTTACCGCGGCACCTGTACCTACTGCAGCACCTACCACCACTGCAGCTGCGGAAGCTACTGTTGCACCTGCAATTTTCGCAGCTCCGGAAAATATTGTTGCATCTACCACTATGGCAGCGCCGGAAGCTACTGCTGTACCTGCAATTACCGCAGCACCTGAATCTATTGCAGCATCTACTATCACTGCAGCTGCGGAAGCTACGACTGCAACTACAATTCCTGTAGCACCAGAACCTACTGCAATACCTACCATCACCGCAGCTCCGGAAGATACTGTTGCACCTGCAATTACCGCAACTACGGAAGCTATTGTTGCATCTACCACCGTGGCAGCTGCGGAAGCTACTGTTGCACCTGCAATTACCGCAGCTCCGGAAGATATTGTTGCATCTACCACCGTGGCAGCTGCGCGAGCTACTGCTGCACCTGAAATTAGCGCAGCACCGGAACCTACTGCAGCACCTACCACCAGCGCAGCTCCGGATGCTACTGCTCCACCTGCAATTACCGCAGCACCTGAACCTATTGCAGCACCTACCACCACTGTACCTCCGGAAGATACTGTTGCACCTACAATTACCGCAACTATGGAAGCTATTGTTGCATCTACCACCATGGCAGCTCCGGAAGCTACTGCTGCACCTGCAATTACCGCGGCACCTGAACCTACGGCAGCACCTACCACCACTGCAGCTGCAGATGCTACTGCTGCACCTGCAATTACCCAAGCACCTGAATCTACTGCAGCACCTACTACCACTGCAGCTCCGGAAGGTACTGCTGCACCTGCAGTTACCGCGGCACCTGTACCTACTGCAGCACCTACCACCACTGCAGCTCCGGAAGGTACTGCTGCACCTGCAGTTACCGCGGCACCTGTACCTACTGCAGCACCTACCACCACTGCAGCTCCGGAAGGTACTGCTGCACCTGCAGTTACCGCGGCACCTGTACCTACTGCAGCACCTACCACCACTGCAGCTCCGGAAGCTACTGCTGCACCTGCAATTACCGCAGCACCGGAAGATATTGTTGCATCTACCACCGTGACAGCTGCGGAAGCTACTGCTGCACCTGCAATTACCCCAGCACCTGAACTTACGGCAGCACCTACTACCACTGCAGCTCCGGAAGCTACTGCTGCACCTGCAATTACCGCAGCACCGGAAGATATTGTTGCATCTACCACCATGGCAGCTCTGGAAGCTACTGCTGCAACTGCAATTACCGCAGCACCTGAATCTATTGCAGCATCTACTACCACTGCAGCTGCGGAAGCTACGGCTGCAACTACAATTCCTGTAGCACCAGCACCTACTGCAACACCTACCACCACCGCAGCTCCGGAAGCTACTGTTGCACCTGCAATTACGGCAACTACGGAAGCCATTGTTACATCTACCACCGTGCTAGCTCCGGAAGCTACTGTTGCACCTGCAATTACCGCAGCACCTGAATCTATTGCAGCATCTACTACCACTGCAGCTGCGGAAGCTACGGCTGCAACTACAATTCCTGTAGCACCAGAACCTACTGCAATACCTACCATCACCGCAGCTCCGGAAGATACTGTGGCACCTGCAATTACCGCAACTACGGAAGCCATTGTTACATCTACCACCGTGGCAGCTCCGGAAGCTACTGCTGCACCTGCAATTACTGCAGCACCTGAACCTACTGCAGCACCTACCACCACTGCAGCTGCGGAAGCTACGGCTGCAACTACAATTCCTGTAGCACCAGAACCTACTGCAATACCTACCATCACCGCAGCTCCGGAAGATACTGTGGCACCTGCAATTACCGCAACTACGGAAGCCATTGTTGCATCTACCACCGTGACAGCTGCGGAAGCTACTGCTGCACCTGCAATTACACCAGCACCTGAACTTACTGCTGCACCTACTACCACTGCAGCTCCGGAAGCTACTGCTGCACCTGCAATTACTGCAGCACCTGAACCTACTGCAGCACCTACCACCACTGCAGCTGCGGAAGCTACTGTTGCACCTGCAATTTTCGCAACTACGGAAGCTATTGTTGCATCTACCACCGTGGCAGCTGCGGAAGCTACCGTTGCACCTGCAATTACCGCAGCTCCGAAAGATATTGTTGCATGTACCACCATGGCAACTCTGGAAGCTACTGCTGCAACTGCAGTTACCGCAGCACCTGAACCTACTGCAGCACCTACCACCACCGCAGCTGCAGATGCTACTGCTGCACCTGCAATTACCGCAGCACCTGAATCTACTGCAGCACCTACCACCACTGCAGCTGCGGAAACTACTGTTGCACCTGCAATTACCGCAGCTCCGGAAGATATTGTTGCATCTACCACCATGGCAGCTCCGGAAGCTACTGCTGTACCTGCAATCACCGCAGCACCTGCATCTATTGCAGCAGCTACTACCACTGCAGCTGGGGAAGCTACGGCTGCAACTACAATTCCTGTAGCACCACAACCTACTGCAATACCTACCACCACCGCAGCTCCGGAAGATACTGTTGCACCTGCAATTACCGCAGCACCGGAACCTACTGCAGCACCTACCACCAGCGCAGCTCCGGATGCTACTGCTGCACCTGCAATTACCGCAGCACCGGAACCTACTGCAGCACCTACCACCAGCGCAGCTCCGGATGCTACTGCTGCACCTGCAATTACCGCAGCACCGGAACCTACTGCAGCACCTACCACCACTGTAGCTCCGGAAGATACTGTTGCACCTGCAATTACCGCAGCTCCGGAAGATATTGTTGCACCTACCACCAGCGCAGCTCCGGATGCTACTGCTGCACCTGCAATTACCGCAGCACCTGAACCTATTGCAGCACCTACCACCACTGTACCTCCGGAAGATACTGTTGCACCTACAATTACCGCAACTATGGAAGCTATTGTTGCATCTACCACCATGGCAGCTCCGGAAGCTACTGCTGCAACTGCAATTACCGCACCACCTGAACCTACTACAGCACCTACCACCACTGCAGGTGCAGATGCTACTGCTGCACTTGCAATTACCCCAGAACCTGAACCTACTGTAGCAGCTACTACCACTGCAGCTCCGGAAGCTACTGCTGCACCTGCAATTACCGCAGCACCTGAACCTACTGCAGCAGCTACCACCACTGGAGCTGCGGAAGCTACTGTTGCATCTGCAATTACCGCAGCTCCGGAAAATATTGTTGCATTTACCACTGTGTCAGCTCCGGAAGCTACTGCTGTATCTGCAATTACTGCAGCACCTGAACCTATTGCAGCATCTACTACCACTGTAGCTGCGGAAGCTACGGGTGCAACTACAATTCCTGTAGCACCAGAACCTACTGCAATACCTACCACCACCGCAGCTCCGGAAGATACTGTTGCACCTGCAATTACCGCAACTACGGAAGCCATTGTTGCATCTACCACCGTGGCAGCTGCGGAAGCTACTGTTGCACCTGCAATTACCGCAGCTCCGGAAGATATTGTTGCACCTACCACCATGGCAGCTTCGGAAGCTACTGCTGTACCTGCAATTACCGCAGCACCTGAATCTATTGCAGCATCTACTACCACTGCAGCTGCGGAAGCTACGGCTGCAACTACAATTCCTGTAGCACCAGAACCTACTGCAATACCTACCACCACCGCAGCTCCGGAAGATACTGTTGCACCTGCAATTAGCGCAACTACGGAAGCCATTGTTGCATCTACCACCGTGGCAGCTGCGGAAACTACTGTTGCACCTGCAATTACCGCAGCTCCGGAAGATATTGTTGCATCTACCACCATGGCAGCTCCGGAAGCTACTGCTGTACCTGCAATCACCGCAGCACCTGCATCTATTGCAGCAGCTACTACCACTGCAGCTGGGGAAGCTACGGCTGCAACTACAATTCCTGTAGCACCACAACCTACTGCAATACCTACCACCACCGCAGCTCCGGAAGATACTGTTGCACATGCAAGTACCGCAACTACGGAAGCTATTGTTACATCTACCACCATGGCAGCTCCGGAAGCTACTGCTGTACTTGCAATTGCCGCAGCTCCTGAATCTATTGCAGCATCTACTACCACTGCAGCTGCGGAAGCTACGGCTGCAACTACAATTCCTGTAGCACCAGCACCTACTGCAATACCTACCACCACCGCAGCTCCGGAAGATACTGTTGCACCTGCAATTACCGCAACTACGGAAGCTATTGTTGCATCTACCACCGTGGCAGCTGCGGAAGCTACTGTTGCACCTGCAATTACCGCAGCTCCGGAAGATATTGTTGCACCTACCACCATGGCAGCTCCGGAAGCTACTGCTGTACCTGCAATTACCGCAGCACCTGAATCTATTGCAGCATCTACTACCACTGCAGCTGCGGAAGCTACGGCTGCAACTACAATTCCTGTAGCACCAGAACCTACTGCAATACCTACCATCACCGCAGCTCCGGAAGATACTGTTGCACCTGCAATTACCGCAACTACGGAAGCTATTGTTGCATCTACCACCATGGCAGCTCCGGAAGCTACTGCTGCAACTGCAATTACCGCACCACCTGAACCTACTACAGCACCTACCACCACTGCAGGTGCAGATGCTACTGCTGCACTTGCAATTACCCCAGAACCTGAACCTACTGTAGCAGCTACTACCACTGCAGCTCCGGAAGCTACTGCTGCACCTGCAATTACCGCAGCACCTGAACCTAC